GTTTTGGAAGGTTATTATTTATTGATTCAATTAACTTAAGAGATATAGATCTATTTGGATCACCTATTTCTTCTTGAGTGAGTTTTAGCAGATTATGTCTTTTGAGGAGTCAGTTCATTTCATCTAGGTTATCAAATCTGTGGCATAGAGTTGTTCATAATATTCCTGTGTTATTCTTTTAATTTCCATGGGATCTGTAGTGTCCCCTCTTTTATTCCTGACATCAGTAATTTGTGTCCCACTTTTTTTCCTCCCTTTTTTTTTTTCTTCTTTCCTTTTCTTTTTTTCTTAGTTAGCTCGGGTAGAGGCTTCACCTCTGAAGGATAGTTTTGCAAGGTACAGTATTCCAGGTTGGTGGGTTTTTTTCTTTGAACACTTTAAATCTTTCACTCCAATCTCTTCTTGCTTGCATGATTTCTGAGGAGATGTTAGACGTAATTCTGACCTTTATTCCTTTACAGGTCATGTGCTGTCTTCCTCTGACTTCTTTTGGGATTTTTTTCTTTATTTTTGACATTCTGTGGTTTAAAAAGGATATGCCTAAGTGTATTTTTATTTTTTGGCATTAATCCTGCTTGGTGTTTGTCAGCTTCCTGGATCTGAATTTAGTGTTTGACATTAATTTGGGAAATTCTCAGTCATTATTATTTCAAGCATTTCTTCTGTTCCTTTCTTCTCCTTCTATTATTCACATTATGCATGCATTATTACACCTTTTGTAGCTGTCACACAGTCTAGGATATTCTGTATTCCTCAGTCATTGTTCTCTTTGATTTTTGGTTTCAAGGATTCTATTTTTTTTAATTGAGATATAACTGATACTTAACATTGTGTTATGGGTAAGGTGTACAATGTGTTGATTTGATACATTTATATAGTGCAATATGATTGTCATCATAGCACTTACTAACACATCATGTCACATAATTATAATTTCTTTGAGGAGTCTGTTGATATATCCTGTAGAGATTCTTTCCTTAGCCGTGTCCAGTCCAATAAGCCCACCAAAAGCATTCTTCATTTCTGTTACAGTGCTTTTTTTTTTTTTTAACGTGCCAATTTTTATTTTATTTTATTTTATTATTTATTTATTTTTTGCGGTACGCGGGCCTCTCACTGTTGTGGCCTCTCCGGTGCGGAGCACAGGCTCCGGATGCGCAGGCTCAGCGGCCATGGCTCACGGGCCCAGCCACTCCGCGGCATGTGGGATCCTCCCGGACCAGGGCACGAACCCGCGTCCCCCGCATCGGCAGGCGGACTCCCAACCACTGCGCCACCAGGGAAGCCCTACAGTGCTTTTTTATCTGTAGCATTTCTTTTTGATTCTTTCTTAGGATTTCTATCTCTCAGCTGACACTGTTTTTCTGTTCTTGCATGCTGTCTACTTTATCCATTAGAGCCCTTAGCATATTAGTCATAGTTGTTTTAAATTCCTGGTCTGATAATTCTAACATCCCTGCCACGTCTGGTTGATGTTGCTGTATCTTTTCAAATTGTGTTTTTTGCATTTTGGCATGTTTCGTAATTTTTTTCTTGATAGCTGGACATGCTGTACTGGGTAAAAAGAACTGATGTAAATAGATCTTTAGTAAGGTGGTGGTCAGGTATTGGGGAAGGGGAAGTATTCTATAGCTCTAGGTCTCTGTTTTTGGTTAAGCTTATGCCTGTGGACCGTGAACTTCAAAACAGTTCCTCACCTTTTTTCCCTTCCCTTTTAGGTGTGACAGGATGTTCAGAGTGGGCTGGCATTGCGTATTTCCCTTCCTTCAGGTCAGTCGGGCTTTAATAATAATAGAGTAGGTTAGGTTCCAGTTAACTAGATTTCCTTGAGGGCTTGCCTTGTTAAGAAGAACAGAATGCCCTTGCATATTTCAAAATGTTTCCTTTCTCCCTTTACCTTGCATAAGTACGAGGGGATTTTTTGCTGATATTCATTATGGGAGCCTGGCTGAGCTTCTGGAGGTAAATTTCACAATACAGTAGGGGCCCACCTTTGACTGGGTCCTCCTGGAATTTTTAACTCTTCAGACTTGTCCACACTGAGCCTCCAACAATTCACCAACTGCAGCTCAGATTTTCCTACCCAGCACTACCTCCTGCAGAGGCTTCTGCTTGTGAATCTTGGCTCCAGTAAGCCGTGACTTCCTATGTTTGTCTGTTTCTCCAATCTTGGGGTCAGTGGTTTTACCTGTGTCATCTCCTCTGTTATGGATCTAAGAGTTGTTGATTTTTCAGTTGTCAGTTTTTGACTTGTTATTAGGCTGAAGTGGTGACTTCCAAGCTCCTTACACGTGGAACCAAAAAGTCTTCCGCAATAATTTTATTTATTTATTTATTTATTTATGGCTGCATGGGGTTTTCGTTGCTGCGTGCAGTCTTTCTCTAGTTGCAGCGACTGGGGGCTACTCTTCATTGCAGTGCGCAGGCTTCTCATCGTGGTGGCTTCTCTTGCGGAGCATGGGCTGTAGGTGCGCGAGCTTCAGTAGTTGTAGCAAACGGGCTCAGTAGTTACGGCACATGGGCTTAGTTGCTCGGCAGCATGTGGGATCTTCCCGGACCAGGGCTTGAACCCATGTCCCCTGCACTGGCAAGCAGAGTTTTAACAACTGCACCACCACCAGGGAAGTCCCTTCCTCAATAATTTTTTGAATAAATGAATGAATGATGGGAAAAGGCTGAGATGTGAATTCCTCCTAAAATGAGAGGTTCCAACAACACCTAAGTGTAAGTCATGTAATACAGCAGCTGGGCTAAAGTTACAATTATATTAGGGCATTACGTTTTATATAGTTTAAAATTTATTTGGTGTAGCAAACTTTCTTTAAGGCTGAACTGATTTTTGAGTCTGCGTTAATGGAAAGAAAAGTATGTTGAAGATTTATATTCATTCACCCAACTATCAGAAAAAATAAATTATACAGTAATCCTTCCCTTTTTCATCCTGATACAATTTATTTCCATAATACTTTTGAAGTTCCAGGTCAATTTGTCTAGAGCCAATTAACTAATAATCAGTCCATATACCAGGTTGCCTAAAATTCAATCTCCTTTTTTTCTGTTTATGTTAGTGTTCTAATTAGCATGGGGGAGGATTTAAGAATTATTTTTTAACCAGCTTATAAAACAGAGTTCCCCATTTACTTTTAATACTTCTAATATGTTATTATCATATTTGAAGTATTTAATTTATTTTTGAACGCTTTAAAGACTTTTAATCTGTGTCTAAAAATCCTTTCTTTAGAATTCCATGTTCCTAACAGTAAATATTTATCAGCACTATACAAGACATAAACAATAACTTGTCAAGCTAGGCTATCTTGATAACATCACTAAGAACAAAAAACGGTATTATTTTGTGCCTTACAATCCAGTAATATTTTATGAATTAGACAGCTTAAATAATAATAACTCTTGTACATTTGACAAGTAATCATCACTGTAATAGGCTTTCGTCTTGACTGTATATACATTTTTAAACATGTTTCTCACTCTAGAAAATGAAACTCTAGAAACCCAAGTCTACCGATTTAGAATGTCATTCTGAAAATTATTTAACATAAAATATCTCAAAGAGCCACAGTTAATGTGAGTGTTGCCTCTAATGTAAAGGAGTTTCTCATATTGCCTGAACTCTAAAGGTAAAAAAGTGACATTCTATTACAAAACAATTACAAGTATTGGCGATATTTGTAATTCTCCTTCCCCATTTTGCCTGCTATTCATCCTTCAAAATTCAGTTCAAATGCCATCTCCATAAAACCTTCCTGACCTCTTCCAGAGTAGGGAGCTTCTCTAGGCTACCATATATATATATATATACCACTATTTTAATACTTAAAACAATTTTCATTTTTTTAACCCAAGCTGCAGAGAATGTACAGATAAATATTCAAATACAATCTCAAATACAATCTCATGGTGAATCAGCAGTATCTATGACTACATAGCTTTTAATTTCATTTCCCTCTTTTGTCATTCAGTTTCGTTTATTTTAAACTTCTTGGCTGCTACATGTGGAAGGTTAGAGCATTTAAAAAATTTTTTTTTAAAAAAGGTATTACTCTTCCCTACACTCATGCAGAAACTTTAAGAAATTAAAATCCCATTTGGAGCAATAATACCCTTAATCAAAAAAAGTTATTAAATTATAAAAGCTGTGGCTTTTAGACAAATGGCAATAATTAAATGTGCTATTAAGGAGGTGTCACTTTTCTAACAACTTTTGTTGTTGTAGTTTGTGGACCCCTGCTATAGATACCTTCAAGAAAGGTACCTTTTAAGACTATTCAGTGCCAATCATGTTTTGGAGAACAGAGTGGGGCTGCAAGAAAAAGAGAATAAAGAATAGTTTGGAAGTATCACTAGTGCTCAAGCTCCATGAATAGCCATTTTATATACTCCAAGATGTACTAGCATTACTATTAAAAAAAAAAAAAAAAAAAAGAGGGTGTCATTCCCTATACTGATCTCACAGAAATTCCCTTTAAGCTGGAAAGCACTTTTTTAAAGTTAGTTTTTATTATAAAGTACTTGTAGAAATGATTTCTAAATCTAGCATACAAAGAACATAAAAGTGCTAGATTATTTCAGCTCCAAGTTCTCTTCTAATTAAGATTCTGTGACTTAAAAAATTTTTTTTCTAAGTTTTTAAATAGAGCATCTGAGAAACTGGTGGGTGAAAGTACACATGATAAGTTGCGTACTACAAGGATCATTTTCAGTACCCAGACACTATAAGTGCTGAAGTCTCTAAAAAAAATTAGCCTGAGCTTAAGTGAAAGAAATTTAAAACAAGCTGCAACTATTTATAAAGAAAAATGAAGCTTCCCTCCTTTTGACTCATCTCCAAATTTAGAAAAGAATTGTAACCTAAGTCCAACCACAATCAATGTAAATTCACTTAAAGCCGCAGATCTTGGTAGCTCATGTCTTACACCAAGGCAAACACTGAAAAGAATATAAACCACTTCAACAAACATGGCAAAGAACACTGAACTTACCTTGAAAAAGCTCAAATTCACTTTCTAAATCAAGGAAAAACCTTAATTGGTAAATTGATATCCTTTTCTCCCAATAGTGTGAACTTGACTGCTAGTAAAAACTAAAATATATGTTCTTATATTTTCTTACATGAATTTAAACAATAATATAACAAAAGACATAATTTTAGAGAGAATAAAAACCCAGGTGATTAAGAAAGTTTATGGTCATAAGGACACTGCCCCTCAAGCTGAGATAATGAACAAAGTAATATTCTCAAGCCAGTGGCCAAATGAATGTACTCCTGTATTCTACTGATAATTCGACACCTCAAAGAGAACCTACAAGAATTAGAGATAAACAAACCTAATTCACTCATTTTAGTATTTCCATTTGTTTTATATGACGAATCTGCAAGAGAGATAGCAAGAAAATGATTAGAGCTGAAAAGGAAATGCATCATATGGTTCTTTACCACAGGTTCATCATCAAAACCTTAACAGATTTTTATCATTTATAACACTTAAAAGGACAGCCATCTATCAAAAAAAAAAAAATCAACCGAATTCTTTTTTAAAGGGAATGATTGAGGAGTAGAAACCTCATGTGAAGATAAATATGCTTCCTTTTTAGTTCCCATGATAAAGCACCCTTATGGGTCTGTAAACTCTAAAAATTAAGTAGAAGTAGACCTCCTGGAATGACATTACTAGTTTTCTTTCACAGTCATGAAATCAATTTAAGGGCAATACTCTTTTAAGGTTTTAGTCAAAAAGAAACGTAATTAAGGCAGGGAAAATTTATAGCCCTGAGCCACAAAGCCTCAGTCTTGAATTTTTTATTAGCATTATACTGGGAAGAATAAAAAGTCCCTGACCCTAATTTAAAACCATTTTGCTAACAAAAAGAATCATAGCAACATATAAGAAACAACCTCTTAAAAAGAATGAGGAAGTCCTTTATACACTTGTATAGAAAGATGTCTCAATATATTTTAAGTAAAAATAAATAAACAATAAGACAGTACAGAAAGGAGTATTTATTGGGCTAAAATTTGGGTTAAAAAAAGAGAGGAAAATATCATTTATACATGAATTTCCCTATATCCCCATAAAATACCTCTGGAAAAATACCTAAGAAACTGACAACATTAGTTGCCTCTGATGAGGAAACTGGGTGGGCAAAGGTCAGAAGGGGCAGGGAGACTTTTCATTGTATATTTATAGAAACTTTTGAATTTTGAACCATATGAATACATGTAGTACTCTATTTAAAAATATAAGAAAGTTGAACCAACAGACAAAACAGTCTCTTACCAGATCTTGAGCTTCTTAGAGGGGGTCTACACAGGCCAATTACAGGATCTTTACTCACCACTAATACAGGAAGAGAAAACATTAAAAAAATATATAAAATGTCAAACATATTAGAATGTCATATATAAAATATGTCATATATAAAATATGTCATATATAAAATATATCAAACATATTTATTATACAATCATCTATTTAGTCAGCCAAGTTTTTTCTGAGCTTTCCATTTTGCTAAGTATGGGAATACAATAGTGAACTAGAGAAAAGTTTCCTGCTATAAAAAATTTATGGACTTGATGGAAAATTTTGCAGTTTTTCTCACCAGACCATATTTGTATAACAAGAAAGGAATATCAAATAACACTCTTCTAAATTTCTCAATTAAGAACCAAAATCTGTACCATAGCACCAACTCAATTATCTACCCCATTTGTGGCATACCCTAATTGTGGATTATTTATGTCATATTTTAATTTGAGGGTTAACTTCCTGAGACTTAATACACTCCCTCCAATTATTTAACCTTGTGTGTGTTCAGGAAATGCAAACTCCAATTTTTAAAACAATGTTAATGTTAGCCAGGTTTCAGACTGTCTATGGTTCAATGGCATAGGGTTAATGAGGAAGCCAATCCCATTAAATAAAATATTAATGTTAGCCTAGAAATCCAAGGTGTGTTTCCTCAAACAGCCTCACACAACATAAAATAAAATGCAATCTACATCTAAATTTGGGTTATATTATGCTTTGTTTCATTTGTTTCTATAAAAAAGCAGTATGTTTGGCTCTGTATGAGAAGTGCAAAAACCACATTCCGAACCAGCTATCCCTGACCCCTGCCATTACACTGGCTGCCCATGTTTGTTTTCACAAAACTGACTTAATCCAATTTCCCTTTACAGTATCAAGAAGAGAAATCTTGAAGGGACACCCATTCATTTGTTCTAAAAATACTTACTGAGCATGATTTTGTACATCTTCAAGACAGAGATGTAGAGAAACAATTAAATTGACTTTGTGTAGCTCAAAAACACAGAACTAAGATCAAGAGAAAGTTACAGCAAAGTAGCTTTTAGTTCAATAGTAAAACGAAAAACAACCAAATTAAGTGTTGTCTCCAAAACAGAATGGAGAGTGAGGGAGTGATTTCCACATCACTGCAGATGATCAACAATGCACAGATACATGTTAACAGAGGGACACCTACACTGATAGAAACTCTGAGTAGATGACTTCCCTAAATCTTCCAGTTCTAAGATTATTATCAGTTGTTAGAATTTCACATATCAGGTATTTAGAACTTACATAAGCAGCTTTAAAAAGAAATCTTGTACATGTCTGTTACTCTTATTATTACAACTACCTTCCTCTTTTTCTCCTCTGTATTCCCATCCTTTTCAGGTTTAATTAAAACCTAAAACTTAACTTACTCTATAGACATCAATTACTATTTCAGTCCCCATCTTTTCATTTGAGCTTTTCTTGTATGCTCTACCATATATATAGCCCTATGTAAGATACTTGAAGGAGACAGAGTAGCCCAGAGAGGTATTAGAGAATAAAATAACAAGTACCCTTCTTTAGTAGCAATCTCCTTCCTTTGTCTGCTGCTTTTGCTCACCACTGCACCCCCAGGCTCTAGAAAGGGGACTGGTATAAAGTAGGTGCTCAATAATATCTGGAGAATGGATGAATGCTGTAACTACAGGAGCCAAAGAATCAAATGTTGATGACAAAATAGAAGGTATTAAAAATATTTAACTATAATTATTTAGCCAGAAACCATAACTGTTAAAAATATTTAACTTTAGGAAAAGTAAATGAAATTTTCCTACTGTATTTTTAGATTATGAAATTAGTTTCATGAAAGGAATGAACCTGGCCATAGAAGAAGTTATATAGATATTGTGGACTGAACTGACTGAACAACCTAATGGCTATTTCAATGTGAAAATAATGCAATTCTGAAACTTCAAACATTAAGCAGAGTTTAAACCATATCCGTATTCTAAACTAATACAATCAACATTTTTTCACAACTTCAAAAACAGGATGACAAATGATGTAGTTGTCTTTATTAGGTTGTTTTAGAAAGTGGCCCCTTGCTTTAGGTCATTAGTTTCAAGGACATTTTTGGATAAAGTTCTCTCAGACCACACCACTGGCCCTATATACAATTATGGCACAACTCTGAATACCAAAGTTAAACTGAAAGTCTATGATTCTACAAGAAGGAAGGGACTATCTTTTTTCTTTTTTAATTGATGTATAGTCAATTTACAATGTTGTATTAAGTTTCTGGTGTATAGCAAAGTGATTCAGTTATATATATATATTCTTTTTCATATACTTTTCCATTACGGTTTCTTATAGGATACTGAATATAGTTCCCTGTGCTATACAGTAGGACTTTGTTGTTTATCTATTTTATATATAATAGTTTGTATCTGCCAATCCCAAACTCCTAATTTATCCTTCCTCCACCCCGCTTACCCCTTTGGTAACCATAAATTTGTTTTCTAAGTCTGTGAATCTGTTTCTTTTTTGTAAATAAGTTCATTTGTATCATATTTTAGATTCCACATATAAGTGATATAATATTTGTCTTTCTCTGTCTGACTTCACTTAGTATGATAATCTCTAGGTCCTTCCATGTTGCTGCAAATGGCATTATTTCATTCTTTTTAATGGCTGAGTAGTATTCCATTGTGTGTTGTGTGTGTACACATATACATATACACATACCACTTCTTTATCCATTCAGCTGTTGATGGACATTTAGGTTGCTTCCATGTCTTAGCTACTGTAAACAGTGCTGCTATAAACATACGGGTGCATGTATCTTTTCGAATTAGAGTTTTCTCTGGATATGTGCCCAGGAGTGGGATTGCAGGATCATATGGCAACTCTATTTTTAGTTTTTTTAAGGAACCTCCAAACTGTTTTCCATAGTGACTGCACCAATTTACATTCCCTCAAACAAGGAAGGGCCTACCTTAAACTTGCACTTAAAGCAGTTTTCCATCAAAGTTGACTCCTGTTTAAATAATTCCTTTGCTAGAAGGACTTTATAACCATTCATTTAATGACTTCCCTAAACTCTTTCTCCTTTTATTAAGAGGAATGATACAGGAGCATGCCAAGTGCTAGATGCAGTATAATTTTTAAAAGCACCTTTTAGAGTAAGAGAACCCCGAGTATCTCAAGTCTCCCAAAGATGCACATATCCTTATTTCTAGTTATATTGTAGCACAGTATGATATCGATATATTCCAGGTAATCTATGCATGAGTTCCATCGATCTATCATCTATACTGGGAAATGTTTTGTCTTTTCCGTTACCAACTATAGCATAAGCTTCTTGAGATAAAAGAAATGCTTAAGCAAAATTTTATGAACTTCATATCTCCTGTAAAGTGCTGTGAGGAAAAAAACCCCACCTTATATCTGTATGTTTTACTGGGTACAAACTGACTTGGCAAGTACTATATCATTTTTGCAGTGGCCTTGTGAGTTAGGCTGGGTAAGTCATACAGATAAAGGCCTGAGGTTCAAGGTGAGTAGCTAATTCAACCAAGGTCCAGTGCTCTTTCCACAACATTATGCAGCCATGTACCTCAACAGCAGTCCTTAAATACAGGCCTAATGTGAACTCCAAAAGACTGTACGAGACATTGTATTTTATAATCGTTTTATAAGGGTCTATAGGCTGGTGCTCAACAGTCTTCATTACATCAATTTACTTAACTCCATAATTTTTATAAATTTACTGTAGATTTTAAAAATGAGAGATTTTTGTTCCTCCCAGTATAAGGGACATGAATTAAATCTCCAGTAAATAAAATTTCAAGAATATGGTTTTTCCACATGGCCTAGAAGGACTTCCCTGGTGGCAGAGTGGTTAAGAATCTGCCTGGGGCTTCCCTGGTGGCGCAGTGGTTGAGAGTCTGCCTGCCGATGCAGGGGATACGGGTTCGTGCCCTGGTCTGGGAGGATCCCATGTGCTGCGGAGCGGCTGGGCCCGTGAGCCATGGCTGCTGAGCCTGCGTGTCCGAAGCCTGTGCTCCGCAACGGGAGAGGCCACAACAGTGAGAGGCCCGCGTACCGCAAAAAAAAAAAAGAAAAGAATCTGCCTGCCAATGCAGGGGACACGGGTTCGAGCCCTGGTCCTGGAAGATCTCACATGCCACAGAGCAACTAAGCCCATGTGCCACAACTACTGAGCCTGTGCTCCAGAGCCCGCAAGCCACAACTACTGAGCCTGAGTGCCACAACTACTGAAGTCTGTGTGCCTAGAGCCCGTGCTCCGCAACAAGAGAAGCCACCACAATAAGAAGCCCATGCACTGCAACGAAGGGTAGCCCCTGCTCACCACAACTAGAGAAAGCCCACGCACAGCAATTAAGATCCAACGCAGCCAAAAATAAATAAACAAATCTTAAAAAAACAATGGCCTGGAAAATCTGTTTATAGCACCTATCACTCAAAGCATTTTCCTAAGGTAGTTTATAATCTTAATACAGTACCATAGGCTATTCAAGGAATTAAGCATAAAGGGTGTGTTATTTGGAACTGAACTTGAACCAGATATTTATTCATTCTAAACTGAGAACAGAACAGTTTAAATTATAAGGAATAATCTTATTAGAAGCAATGGGTAAGGAAAGAAGTCAGGATTTGCGTTTAAAAATAAAAAGCCAGAGATGATCAGTTTCAATAGCTACAATCATTTATTGCTGTGGACTTTCCTAATATCAAAAAAAGCAAACTGAAAATAAATGGAACTAAAAACCAAAGGATGTTACGCGTTAATGACAACTTAATCCTTTCCCTTGCTTTTCAAAATAGTTTAAACAGGTTTTAAAACGTTAAGTAGACTATCAAATGTACCCTATTGTCATGTTACATTGATACTAAGATGCAAATATTTTTACACTTTAACATCTCTGAAAGTGGGATGTATCATAAAATCTAAGGCATATTACAGTTTAATTGGCAGCATTTCTTCCTCTTAGGTGGTACATAAAACAATGACAGTATATCTTACAACTGATGAGATCTTAGATTTGATGAAATATATTATCAAACTGAGATCGACCATATTGTGTCATGATTTTACAATGCAGACCATTTAATCCATTTTATTTTATTTATTTATTTTTGGCTGCATTGGGTCTTCATTGCTGCATGCGGGCTTTCTCTAGTTGTGCCGAGCTGGGCTACTCGCTGTTGCGGTGCGCGGGCTTCTCACTGCGGTGGCTTCTCTTGTTGTGGAGCACCAGCTCTAGGTGCGCGGGCTTCAGTAGCTGTGGCTCGCGGTCTCTAGAGCGCAGGCTCAGTAGTTGTGGCGCACGGGCTTAGTTGTTCCACGGCATGTGGGATCTTCCCGGACCAGGGCTCGAACCTGTGTCCCTGCGTTGGCAGGAGGATTCTTAACCACTGCGCCACCAGGGAAGCCCTTAATCCGTTTCAAATGGAAAGTAGTGTGACATATTCATTCATTCAACACGTAACAAGCTTTACTGAGTAGTAATTATTACACGGGACAGTGACAGTGAGGTACTTGGGGCAAATGAAAGGGCTTTGGAGAAGACAAACCTGGGTCTGAATTTGGCTCAGTTACAAGCAAGTAATCTTAGAGAAAAGTTAGCTACTCTGAGCTCCAGTTTTCTCACCAAAAAATGGGTACATCTATCCTGCATAGTTATGTGAATGAATTAACATACACCAAGTATATGGTATTTAGTAGGTACTCAGGTATGTGCCCTGTCTTTTCTTGACACATCCTACTATTGCTTAATTCAATAAACAACCTATACAGAAGATTCACTGAAACCCTGAATGAGGTATGATCTGCAACCCTTGATAGACCAGGCTATCATCTATACATAAAAAAAGCAGCCACGTAAGGAAAACAATAAACTCACTCTTCTTACCTGGAGTCTGTGTCCTCCTGATAGTATTCTTTGAGACGGTTGGGCTTAAAACAGTTTGTGAAGGTGGTTCATCCTCTAAAGAAAAGATATGACAATTTTAAAATTCAGAATATGTGAACTGAGTAGAGATTATGTATATTAACAGCAATATATAAACAGAAATGCAAGTAATTCATCCCTTCAGAAATGTGTTATTAGGTTTACCAAAACTTAGGAATTTAACTAGCCAGAACTACTCTTTAAGACAATATAAAAATAAACTATTCACCAATGATGCTTTACAACAAAATTACATTACTTTAGAAAATTTAAAAGATGGGCTAAAGCAGAAGAATGAAAAACGTGTAGATCCTTATAGATTTACTAAAATAGAAGTATATCCTTTATGTGTTAAAAAAAATTAGCTTATACAACTGCACCAGCCTGTGTGGGAGAGTCAATACAATTTAACATATATATTTTTTGCCTTCTAAAGCAGTCTTCCAGATATTGGAGATACAGAATGAACATAAGCACGGAAGTATAACGTGGTCCTTCAAATACATAAATATATATGTAGGGTCTTTGTCTTCAGAAGTTGACAATCTTAAAAGAGAGATAAAACTAACATATATATGGGTTAAACTGTCTTGAATTGCTACTCCCAATACTAATTTACATTATCTTTAACATAGTTTCCAAAATCAATACATCTTCCAATGTGGCAGCACTTCACGTGTTAGCTCGTAAATGTGCAGCCTATTACTCTGCTCTAAACTGAAAATCCACCTCCTCTTCATCATATCCATCAAAGGTCTATCACTAACTATGTAATTCCATTATGATTCAAATCCCCCGATTTTACCTCATAGGTGCCCTACGGGGAGCCAACATGAAACTTCATCTGTGACTCAGTGTTAGATAGGGGAGAGGGGGCAGGGTGGGAGAGGATGGATTAAGGGAGCTGATTCATCTGTGACTTTCCTAAAACTATACAATCACCTTGCCAGTATCCTTGCGGCCCATTCAGACGACAACTAATTAAAAGTCTTGCTTTGTCTGGCTACTACTTAACCATTGACGGTCCCCAACATGCGAATTTTTGCCAGAGACCACCACACTCTAGAAAGAGCGATCAGCTCAAGTTTATCAGGCACTGGGAAGCTTCAAGTTCAGGATAACTAACTGCCTTACCCTATTTCGGTGTAAGTATTTGGGTGGGCCCTCAAATCAATTCATCAACTACACTTGTCCTCAAAACGGCCACTCACAAAATTCCCCTCCCTCTCTCCCCACCTGGGTAGTGATGGAAAAAGACTGGAAGGTTAGATGAGAAGCAAAATTTTCAGCTAGGGACTTCTGGCCTCTGAGAGTTAAAGGAGGAAATGAAAGTGGCTTTGGTAGAAACATCCGCAGGACAAAGAGAACCGATATGAAACCCAGCCCGGAGTGATTCAGTGTCCCGCCTGCCGCCTAACTCGCCGTCCCAACGTGCAAGCCTGCAGAAAAGAGGCAATCCTGACACCCCTAAATTGATGCCCAAGGATGCACGCGGCTCCACGGCTCTGCTCAAGTAGCTCCGCACGACTGCCTTCCCTTCCAGTGCCCCCGCCCCTGCCGCTTTCCCGCCAGCGGTCGGGGCGGACCGGGCGTCGGGTCGCACGCCCATCCGGGCGGAGGAGCCCCGAGGGGGTGAGGTCCAGAAAGGCACACGCCCGGCCGAAGCGCACACGCCCTCTGCGCGCGCACGCTCACGGCACTCCCTTCCTGGCTCGGGGCTGAGACTGTTACCTCTGTCGGCCTCACCTTCGGATGAATGGGAGTCCCGTAATCCTCTCCTGGTCGTAACCGGAGACGGCTGCAGCGGAGGCGGCTGTGAGTGCTGCTGCTGCTGGAGGCGAGTAGCCCTTCGCGTCTTCATCTCGGCTTCCTGGAGTCGCGGCTGCCTCCGCTGCCGAGACCGAAGGTAATAGGAGCGTTCTCTCACTTCCTCCTTCGCCGAATCGGGCCGGAACTCTTCTAGCGGAATTTGTCTTCCCACCGGGGCCTTTTCTTTGGCCGCCCGGGGCTCGAAGTCGCCGTACACTTCGGGCGGCTCTTCTGAGAACCTCACTTCCCGCCGGCCGTGGCGCGACGGCGTAGGAGATCTATACGCAGGCGCGTCACTGCCGCCGCCATTTTGAGGGGCGAGCCGGGGCCTCGCCTCCCGTAGCGGAGCCCTGGGCGTGACGTACAGCCCCCATCCTTCCCTCTCCGGCTCCGCCCGCCACCCCTCGTCTGCCATAGTTGTTGACGTAGCTTGAGTCGATCGAGAAGGTGTTTTGGAGGGCCTGTAGAGTCTCCCGCCGTTGGTGGCGATGGTTTTTCGGGTGTTCGGCAGTGGTGTCGACGGTCAGGGAGGCAGTTGAGAGTCGCTGGGGCTGCCGCCTGCGTCGTCGCTGCTGTGCTGCAAACCCGCCTCTGGGCCCATCGTGTGTTCTGAGGGCTGTGAGAGAGGCAGTGCCTGTGCTGGGTCAGCTGCCGCGGGTCACTCCCGCCTCCTGGCTGAAGGCACCAAAGAGGAGGAGAAGAGGGAGGAGGACGTCGCTGTCCTTGGCCTTCAGGGAGGGAAGGAGGGGACGACGGAGAAGAGACCACTGGTTGGGCAGAGTGCCGGTACTCAGCCCGCTGCTCCTGGCAACTGTTGCCGGCACGCAGGAGACGTCCGGCCCGTCCCCCAGTACCGAGAACCTGGGAAAGGAGGAGTGGAGGGGAAGTTTGGTCCTCACCCCCAGGCTGTTGCGCAGTTTTCCCGCAGCCTCTGATCGACTGCTGCCTCCGCCGTACCTTGCCGAGTGTTTCTTAGCAGGGGTTGATAAGAAAGATACTTTTGCAGGTGTCATCTTGGAGAAAATTTTAGTTTCAAGGACCTTGGGAAGGCATTTAACCACTTAAGTTTTAAGTCCCTCGTTGAGTGTACGAAATCGGATCTACAGGCATACTGGGGTGGATTAACATTTGCAAAATGTGCGCATAGCAAGCAGTCTTATTCCTGGTTTCGTATAAAAGCTCTAGTCCAGCAGCACTGTTCAGAAAGCTTGCTAGTGCTGTGTTATGGACAGTGAAAAATGAACAAATACTTTAATTAATGACGGCACTGTAATTTTCACTTGTGATCCATTATTTTTACTTTGATTCTGGGCATGACTTGATATACTGCATTTGATATAGGGTTTTCCTGCGTTTAGTTTACTGAATAAGAAAGCATGATAAAAGCCTATGTTCCACCTCTGTGTATCGTATTTGCAGATGTGGATAATCTGCAAATATCTAACCAAATTTAGACACACTGAAGGAATGTTAATTTAGTATAAAGTCTGAACAATTATTGAAAAAAGATTAATCTTGCCTTCAAATATACACACACTTCTTGGACGGCTTTCTATAATTGATTTTAGTGACTAGATTTAAAAAGTTGAAATTTGGATAGCAATTATAATGAATGAGCCTGAAAAATTTGAAGGTATTTGTTTATTCTTTCATGTATTTAAAATCACTTTAGAATGTTTTTGAGCAACTCATTTGTCCAAACTGGGGACAGATTTCAATTTAATTAAATCTTAAGGTGTTCAATGTTTTCACTAATTGTCCAAAAATTTGGCCACAGACAAGAGGAATTACATGCTTTAGAGAATCACCTAGGTTTTTGCCTGTGAGGAGATTCATTTAGTTGAGCTTTTGTTTTTACTGTATACAATATAGACGAAGAAACTGAAGGAATAGCAACATGGGAGATGCTACTTTTTAAAAAAATCTTTTGTCTTAAGGGAAAATGAAAAGCATGTTCTCCCTCTTCAGCCTGAGTTAGATAGTATATTTGCAAGATTCGTGGGACTTAGTCTTTTCTGACAAAATGCTGAGAAGTGTTGATACTTGGTTAATACCTGGCTTTTATTTAACTAATGATTTATGGGGTACCTACTATATTACTCATTATTAACATATAATAGTAAAAGTTCTGTAATAGATGAAATTATTAAAGAATATAAAACTTTATAGTATTAATATACAAAGTTCATATTATGAACAGTAATGCATATATTAAGAGCCTCTTTAAAACAGTTACCAGGACAGGTGACTATATGGAAACTTGGTTACAGATTGTAAAACTTAGTTTGGGGGAACATATTAAAAAAGAGAGGACAGGAGGTTCTATATATTATTGAATATTCAGTACATGTGTTATTTTGTAATTAAAAATGCTTGTAAGAGTTTAGGAATGGTTTTCAAAGAAACAGATCATGAGACGCTTGAAGTAAAATCAGAGGAACGGCAACTTTAATTTAGCATTAACACATATATTTGCTTAGGATTTTCCCTCTTTAGGTAATAAGGATACATAATCCTAGCCCTGCCATACGTGCCTCCCACGCCTTAGCAACTTTACAAATACCAACTTTCATCACTAACTGAGAGGTAAAGGTAAACCCTTGTCAAACCAGATATTCTGCTGTAGATGTTTTCCAAACTACAAGGGTGGCCCAAAAGAGGTGAGACAGAGACAGACTCATAGCTAATATTATAAGGGAATTGCTGGGCTGCCAATACCAAGAGAGGAAGCATGAGCTCCAGATGTTAAACAATTACTTTGGGAGTTTGAGATATGTAGAGGAATTCAGTGAATCAAAACAGAACAAGAGAAGAAATGATTACAACAAAGAATGTACTCATCAATTTAATTCATATATTTATTAAACACAGAATAGATGCTTAATAAATATATGAATTAAATTAATGCGTGTTCTTTACCCTGAGGGAATTTGCCATATACTAGGGAAGACAGATATACAAAAAATTATAATTCAGGTTAAATGACTGGCAATTTAAGGACCTAGCTATTAGGCCTAAGTCTAGAAATCTAATGTTCTTGACAATGGATTTCTAAATAAAGCAGATTTTTTTTTTTTTTTTTTTTTTGCGGTACGTGGGCCTCTCACTGTTGTGGCCTCTCCCGTTGCGGAGCACAGGCTCCGGACGCGCAAGCTCAGCGGCCATGGCTCACGGGCCCAGCCGCTCCGTGGCATGTGGGATCCTCCTGGACCGGGGCACAAACCCGTGTCCCCTGCATCGGCAGGCGGACTCTCAACCACTGCGCCACCAGGGAAACCCCAATAAGATAATTTTTGTACATGAGTTTTTTGTTCAGGGTAAGCAGAAATCCTGTTGTTTACTGAGAAAGCATTTATCAATTAATTGTACATAATATCCACACTTTTGATCAGAGAAATAACTTTGGGATTATATCTTAGTAGAAGGAGGAAACATTGTTATTTTTAATAAGGAAAAGATTGAAATATTAAATAAGAGGAAGTAAAGACAGTAGCTAGCTGCATTTATTCCCCATCCTCACAAGTGATAGAAAAAATACTTTAAAGACGGTTAATACAAATGAAAATGTCTAGAAATGAAGTGATTAGAATATAAGTCTTCCACTTATTCTTTGTTGAATTAGAAATTGCAGTCAATTAAACAGCGTCTAAGAATGTTCCCAAATCCCGTGTCTTCTGCCAAAAAAAGGATGGTTGAGAGGTGAAGACACCAAAAAATCAGTTACATGAAGAATCAGTAATCCAGTAAATTATTGAGCTAGTGCTATGTACTAGGCAAACCCTGTTCTAGGTGCTGGGGATACAGCAGTAAAAGAAGAGACCAGAAGGCAACCCTCCCTGCCTTCTAGGCTTTTATATTCTATGGGAGTCAGATAAAAATCAAAATAAGTACAATAGTGTGTTGGTCAGGAGTGTTATGGGGAAAAATCAGGAAAGGGGAAGTGAGATTTATGTGAGTAGATTTCTTCTATGTTGTATTGAATTGGTGCAGGTCAGGAACAGGACTTTTAGACTTACTTGACTTTGCCCTTAACCAATTATGTGTTCTTGCGTAAATTGCTTGCCATCTCTCAATTTTCATTTTTATAAAATTAATAGATTAAGATAATAGCTATTTTTTATTCATCATTTACTAATGTCGTTTAGTAGACACTGTTATGTACATTAGCTCATTTACTCACAACCACCTATGAGGTACTATGTATGTAGCGTTGTCTGCATTTGACAAGAGCAAACTCGGGCTTAGATTAAGCAACTCCTTTGAGGACATGCACCTCCTAATGGTAGAGGCCGGCTTCTAAGTCAAGTCTGACTGGTGCTTGCCAGTATCATTGGCTAGTACCTCTCACTGTGTTGGTTCCATTAGTTCCTCGAGCCTATGAACTTTAGGTCTTTATGAGGGTTTAGGGTCCTCCAGGGTCTTGCAGGGATGCCTGCCTCCGGGTCTGGTAGCAGCCTGAGAACGCGGGGAGGCTTGCGGTTCTGCCGCTGCACTCACCGCACCTCCAGCCTCCAGCCTGCGGGGAGGAGGGGCCGGCGCCTACCAGTCCCAGCATTCCGCGGGCGCCTACCCTCCCCGCGGAGGTCGCGGTCACGTGGGCAGGGACGGGACGACGTTCTGTTCCGCCGCGTCCGAGGGGTGCAGCTCAGCGTTGTGGAGCAGAAAGAACACTCTAAGGGCTCTCCTGATATTGACAGTCGACGATTTAAAACCCCGCTAGAATTTGTAAGTAAAATTTGTATACAACTTTTCCATGTTTTAATATTTGATCTGATACCTTCTTTTTAAATATCTTTCAGAAACGGTCCTTCCCCACCCCCACCTCCTTACCGCAAAAACCTTAAACGGAGCAGGTTGGAGGTATATTTTTGTTTTGGAGTGAAAAAAGAGAAACAGAATCATATAAACATTAAACAGAATAAGGTGGGAATAAATGTTTGGTTTGGACTTTGAGACGAGAAGCAGAATTCCTATAAGGTTCAAATGTAAACGGGAAATCTACCAGTGCAGGTGTTGATTACTCCCTTTACCTTCATGCTTAACAGGATCCCATCATTCGTCTTTTTAATCTTTATAAGATAGTGTCCGTGTTCCCCCGCCGCCGCCCCGCCATCGCTCACTTGCCACCCCTGCCTTTTAGCCTTTATGGTGCTAAAAAGAGAGAAGTTTTAGTAAGACCCTGCAATTACCAATTAATTACATATTATATATGTATTCCCAATTGTATTTCATACCCGAGAAAGTTTACCCCTTTTTCCTTCCTTCAAAAAAGTTTACTCTACTTAATCAGTAGTGCTTAATTGTTAGACTTTATACACAGTTACAGAAATCAGTTAATCTGATTCAACACACTGTTTCAATTTTACCTGTCTTTAGGTTTTAAAACATTTTATTTTGGATCTATATGAGAGATCCTTTCCTTGTCTCTGTTTGTTAAGAATTAGGGCTGTGGCTGTTATCCGTATTTATCAGTTTTGTTTTTCAAGCACAGGATTACTATATAAATGGTCAGTGGGAAATAATCTAATTTAAAAAGGAACTTACTGGTAGAGGAACTAAAAATTTTCCTGGAAGCCTTTGTGTGGATTAGAACAGTTTGAAAACTGACATTTGCTGTGAAAACTTTGGGAGTCTCTCCTGAGTAATGCTTATGCTGAATGCAGAGTCCAGAACTTGATTACCAGTTTTACTCTGGTTTATCGTAACCATAAGTGACTCAGTTCAGCTCTACTTCACTTGTTTTTCTTCCTAGTGTAGAGATAATACTAGCCTGAGAGCTTCTATAAGTAATAAATAAAGTAACAAGAATTTAGCTAATTATTTGAGGATTATTGGGTATTTAAATAATGTATAGCGTCTTGTATGTAATTTATTTTTGCGTAGGCGGTAATTTTAAACTGTATACCATGGAAATCCACATTTCTCTGAAGTGCCACTTGAATTTCCTGAAGGAAAGTTTGCTGAGAGAAGCCTTGTCTGCTTTATGCTGTTTTTCATTTAGAATTTTAATTGTGTTAAAATTTTGTTAATAGTCTATATTTTATAATGACTACTGTG